AATGTTAGATATTTCGTTATAGTCCTGCAATTCTCCGAGGCTTCGTTCATCTTTTAATCGTTCTATTTTCTCCTGGTTATTCAGATTGAGTAATTTCTTTCGTTCTATCTTCCAGTTCACTAATAACTTTCTCTGTCCCATCCATTTGGCTATTGAGTGCATTTGGTGGGCTTTTTATTTCAGCCATATTTTTAAGTTCTAAAATTTCCATTTTATTTCTTGGTTCTTTCTTGAGTTTCTTACTTTTTTGCTGAGACTTTCTATTTGCTCCCGAATCTTACTTCTTTGCTGAGACTTTCTGTCTCCTTCTGAAGTTTTCTGTTTTCATCTGTTTCAAGCATGTTTGTAATTGCTCTTTCAAATATTTTCGTCATGAATGTTTTAACATTTTTGTTGGGTAATTTTGCCATCTCTTTCATCTCAAGGTTGGCACCTATTGATTGTCTCTATAAAATTCAGTTTGAGTTCTCTTCTCAAACTGAATTGATCTTCTTCTCAGAACCAAGTTGTCCTTGGTTCTGAGTATATTGAGTGATTTTTAAAAATTAAAATCTGAACATTTAAGTATTGTGTTTGAAACTCTGGATCTTATTTAAAATCTTTGTTTTATCTGCCTTTCTCTGATGCCACTCCAGCAGAGGAAGGGGAACACCACCTCACTGCCTGGTAGAGATAGAATCTAAGGTCCCCATTCAGCCTTGTTGACATCAGAGGCCAGGGAGGATCCTCAAACTGCCAGGTGGGGATTGGACTTCTGGGTCCTTATATACAGTTGAGTCTCAAAAAACATGACGGTTTGGGGCATCAACCCCCTGCACTTGAAAATTTGTATATGACTTTTGTATCCCTCAAAACTTAATTACCAATAACCCACTGTTGATCAGAAACCTTACTAATAACATAAACAGTCAATTAACATATATTTTGTATGTTATATGTATTATATACCATATTCTTACAATAAAGTAAGCTAGAGAAAAGTAAACGATATTAAGAGAATCATAAGGAAGAGAAAATACATTTACAGTACCATACTTTATACAGCAGTCACGTAAGTTTATGCAGCCATTTACAAAATGAATCATCTGTCTGAAATTGTAGGCAACTGCAGCTGCAGACTATCAAGCAATCAAGTTTTTTTCTTGTAAGGTCATGACTTTTCTCTGCTTCTTGGCAGCACTTCCAGCATCACCAGTGGAATTTTCTATGGATCCCATGATTTTATTCAAGGTTTACACTATTGCACTAAACACAATGAAAAGTATTTGAGAACTGTGAGAGATTACTTTTTACTACAATGGGCAAATTACTGAAGAGATGAACTGCTCATGTGGAGGTAATTAGCTTTGCATTTTACGTAGATATTCACAAACTTGAGCTCACTGCAATAGCAACAGAAGGTGGCTACAAAATTATTACAGTAGTACAGTAGGTACTGTAGCTAATTTTATGCAGTTGTGATTTAATACTGCATCTTTAAGTTTGCATCTCTCTGGACTTCAAGTGCCACCACATACAGTCTATGTTTGTGTGTTTCGATACATTTAAAATTTTTATAATAAATTTGTGTATGTTTTATGGTAGTAAGTGATAAAACAGACTAGGATTTACATGCATTTTGTACATTCATGACATATATTTTCTTAGTTTTGTTGATATTTTTAGACTACATGGTGTGTTTGCAAGTTTTTTCAACTTGTTGCAAATCTCCAAATTTTTTCTAATATATTTATTGAAAAAAAGTTCACATACAAGTGGACTCATACTGTCCAAACTTGTTCAAGGGACAACTGTAGTCTCCACTGACACTGTAATTTATTTTTCTTTCTTTATGGTTAGGTTTTTTTTTAATGTACTTTTAAAGATATTTCTGTCCACTTCTAATATAATAAAGTTATTCTCCTTTGTGTTCTTTTAAAACTTTACAGTTTCACCTTCACATTTAGGTATGTGACCCATCTGGAACGAGTGTGTGTGTGTGTGTGTGTGCCTGCGTGTGTGTGTATGTGTGTGATTATATATATGAAGAAACAATAGCTTTAGCATTTATGTTGAAAAGACCATTCCTTCCCCCATTGAATTGCATTGCACCTTTGGAGAAAATCAAGTAATTACATATGTGTTTGTCTGTTTCTGGACATAATTCTGCTTAATCATCTTTTTAAAAACTATCATACCAATAGACCATTTTCTCTTAATTATTGAGGATTCACATAAGTCTTGAAATCTGGAAATGCGAGTCCTCCAACTATTCCCCATCTTTTTTATTCAGGGTTATTCAGCTTATTATAGGACTTTACATTTCTTTCCTTTACAGAAATTGCAAAATAGATTCTCAAACTTCTACCACAACAAGTTGCTGGTAATTTGATTCAGATTTGGTGAGTTTATGACCAGGTTGAGAAAATTGATAATTTGACTTATGGAATTTCTTAGATTTATAAACATAGCCCTCCATTTATTTAGGTCCTGCCTAATTCCTTTGATTAATGTTTTATAATTTTCATTTTAATGAAATTTCATATCCTTAAATTCATTCATTTGCTATTTTTATTGCAAATGGCATTTTTATTTTATTTTCCAATCGCTTTTAGCTAGACTTTAGAAATACAATTGAATTTTTTATTCAATGACTGTGCAATTCACCCACTAGTTCTGGTAGTTTCTTTATAGATTCTTTTAAATTTTCTACATTCATAATTATGTTATCTATGAAGAAATGGAATTTTACTTATCCCTTTCCAAACTTGATGCATTTTATTGACTTTTCCTGACTTGATGCCAGTTATTCCAGTGTGATAATAAATGGAAGTAGTGATAATGTATCTTGGTCCTAACCTCAGAGGGAAACTGTTCAGTATTTTACCATTAATTATAATGTTGGCCTTGGATATTTTTATAGCTACCCTTTATCAGGTTAAGAACTCTTTTCTATATTTCTAGATTGTTGAGAGTATTCATCATGGGAGAGTATTGGCCTTGTATCAAATTCTCTTGTGTGTGTACATTTTTATAAATTCAAAATTTTAATAAATGTGTGTATATTTTATGATAGCAAATGATAAGTTTAAAATAAGTTGAGCCCATTATTTTGGTTTTTCACCAGGCAAAAGAGGAAAAACTTTGCCCACTATGATCTCAGAGATCAAATAATCTTCTAAAATGTAAGATACTTTGCAAATACTCAATAGATTAAACAAATATATTTTTGTTCTTTAGTGCTATGCAAAATACTTAATGGTTTTCAATATCATTAAAACTATCACCTATTAGTGGCCTTGATTGTCTTCTAAAAAATAAAGGCAAGTAAACCAAAGCAAAAAAAGAAAATTGTGTTAATTACTTTTCTTCTGCCTTTTTAAATATAGCAACATGATATAGTCCTCCCTACTTTAAGTAACTGTTTGTTTTTTATATTTTTGGCAGTACCATCCTGTTAACTTACGTTTTTATGATCTGGCACAGAGTATGTTCATGGTGAATATTTTTTAAATGAATGGAATATTATTACTATGACTTTTACTCCTTATCTTTGTAGCTCAATTTTTCACACCCATGCTGGGGAAATTTATTGTCTATCATTGAATTTTTGCAGACAAATCTGACCCTATGTTTACCCCATTGTAGTCTTTTGTTCAAAACATATTCCAGAAGACTGAAAGAGTGTATACAGAATAATTCGAAGATTTGCTTGGCTTAAGTTCTCTCAGTATATTTGTCAATTATGACTCACCTACACATTCATGAAGCAAGTAATTATTGAGTACTTATTCTGTGCCAATATCTCTTATAAACATTGAATAGTAAGGGCTTTTGAACCAGCTTTTAATTATGGGAAGATTAGAAACAAAAGAAAAATTAAATCCAAGTCAGCAGTTGAGAATCATAATGGGGATATTATTGAAATAACAACGTAATTTAAAAAATAGTTAAAACCTTTCTTGGAGTGTTAGTGGACTGATAAAACAAAAATGAGTACAGAGGTATTACAACTAAGATATCTACCTTCAAACTGGATAAAAGAATTAGAAGTTTGCTGGCTGAGTTTTTGCCTGATTCTAGCTACACAGTTCATTCATTCAGACAGTCACAAGAGGGGGCTGCTTCACCTTAAAACTTAAAGTTTCTTCCTTGGAGAGGGGATGCTAAGCTTATGTTTTCCACTAAAGTTCCACAGAAAACGGGAAAAAGAAGATACACTTTTATCCTCTTTAGACAAATCATGCTTTATGATCTCTTAATAAGTGTGTTTATGGGTTTAAGAGTTCAGGGGCCCTTATACCGATGAACTAAGTCTTTTCAGAGCACCTCCCATAACACTGCTTTCTCCAAGTTTCTCTTCTCTAATCATCTCTCACCTCCCCTATTCCTTACACCTTTTCCTTCCTTTCCATTACCTATTCTTACCACCACCACGCCATTCTTGTTTGCTTTTCCTGGACTCTTTGTTTTTTGCCTCACTGCCCTTGGCAACACACAGTAGCCATAGGCATGGGCATAGGAATTAGGAAATGAACATTAAGGCCATGCGTTTAAGCGGGAAGAGAGCCAGCACCATTTATGTCATTAGTCACTATATCAAGAACAGATGCATGGAGAAATGTCTACCTAGACAGCAGTCAATATTTGATTCCAGGGACCTCTATAGAAAACCCAAGTTTTGGATGATTTAGCTTTCAGTGTCAATTTTACTTTTTCTTTTCTCCTTTTCTCTCTTCTGTTTTCTAGAATGTAGATGGGAATTTTCAACTCTTTACGACACAAAGCTCGGTATAGGCTTCTGGGATTAAATGACACTTTCCACTAGCTCCATGAAGCAGAGGACAATTTCTTTGGTACATTGTGGAAGAAATGATGGAAGAAAAGGTCTGAATAAACACATCCTTAATGATGGATTTTCCTTATTCAGTGTCAGCCTCTTGGACTTTAAACCTCATATATGATTTCAGTAGACAACCCCTGAGTTGAGGATGTCTGGTTGATAACCTCACTCTCTTCTCAGGAACATGACTAACCCGGGGGAGGAAGACACAGAAAAGCAACAGCTCTGTCATTGGCTGACAAGATCCTGACAGCAAAACAATGAGAGCTGTACTCCTTGCTAGTCTTTACTAGTAGCTGTTACTTCTGTTCTCTGGAAATTCTTTAAACCTAGGATCAGACACAAAAACTGATTGGGTCCCCAATCCTCATTTGTCCTTGAAGTATGAGGCTGGTGGCAAGAGTAACTGTGTTTCTGACCTTTGGTAAGTACTCTGTGTCTACCTAGGGAGGGCTTTTGAGGACAAGGGACCCCAAAAGATATTTGCCTTCCACTCTCCCTGTGCTTTATCCAGCATGCTAGGAATATAATTGAGAATTGTTCTGTGCATTTGTCTAGGAAGTGCATACTGCTGCCTGACAGACTAGACCATAACCATAATCCCAGAAGAGCCATTGGTAGTATACCGTTGTAAGAAATCTATGGGTTTACTAAGTCAAGAGCCAATGGAATACAGCCTAGAGAGTCTCAGATTGTTGGCATGTATCTTTGGTCTTTATAATTAACACTAATGATATTTTTTGTGTTCTCCCAGGACATAAAAGTTTTGAAGTGTTAAGGGAGTGTTGTATCCTTGATCCACAGAATTACATTGGCTTGAGAGTCAGGAGCTAATCTGATTTTCTTAACCCCAAAGGGACTATAATTGATGCTAAGACCACTCAGCCCACCTCCATGGATTGTGCTGAAGGAAGAGCTGCAAACCTACCCTGTAATCACTCTACCATCAGTGGAAATGAGTACATACATTGGTATCGACAGAGTTACTCCCAGGAGCCACAGTATGTCATTCATGGTCTAAAAAACAATGAGACCAATGAAATGGCCTCTCTGATCATTGCAGAAGACAGAAAGTCCAGCATCTTGATCCTGCCTCATGCTACGCTGAGAGACACTGCTGTGTATTATTGCATCGTGAGAGTTGCACATTGGGACAGATGGGGCTGCACCTGTGCAATATCTCCCTGGTGGCAAGTGAGGAGGAGGGTAGCATTCATCTGGAACCAAATATCAATAGGAGTCAAAAAGTAACAAGAAAAGGGGAAAAGGAAGGGAATGAGAGAAGGAAGAAAATAGGTAAAGTAAATAAGGGAGATGGGATGAAGGCTAAAAAGACAGGAATAAGAATTTTATTTGTTGATGTGGCTGAGAAAAATGATGAAGAGACTGTGAATTATAATTTGAGCATAGCAATAAAATAAAGAAGGTTAAGAATTTAGACGACTCCACTTCATGTAAAAAAAAAAAAAGTTCATTTCAGTTTGTTAGTAAAAATGAACGAGTAAGGAAAATGAAAATAATTCTGCTCGTCCCTAAGGCTTTTTCAATATGGATCCGGTGGCAAGACCAAGCTTTGAAATGCATCCTATTATAGTTGTCCCAATTACCAGAAACAAGTTGATGTTTCTGAAAGAAAAATCTGCAATGTTCTCTGTTACTGGTGCAGTAACACTAGTTATTAGAGCATGCCTATTTGTGATGAAGGTTTTTCCCTTTGGAAAGAAACAAAAATTAAATAAGGAATATTAACTTATTAACTTATTTTTATTTGTCTTGAAGTCTTGAATCTATAAATAGTTTTCATGATGTTTCATTTTCTAAGTAGCACACAAATCCACCTCACCATAAAAGACTTAGAAAAAGCAAAAGTGAAAGACCTCACTGCATTTCCTCATTCATTCCTGTCTTACACCGCTCTTCTCAAAGAACACTAGTTTTGACAGTTTAAGGTATATCATGATAGCCGGTTTAATTTCAGTTGTATATCTTTGCATATAATTTTATGCAATCACACACAAACTTATATACATGCACATGGTTTTGTCATGTAAATGGGATGTATTAGATTCTTTAACTTGCCATTTATTTTTCATTTAATAGTGCCCTAGAGATCTTTCTATATCAATAGAGAAGTTTGCTTTATTTTTGGTCCCTATTTAGTACTATGAGACATTCCATCATATAATTACATTTTATTTATGCATATTTGTTTCTATTGCCTCACTGACATGAAGAATATTGTGTTCTACATCTTTATAGATTCACCTTAGTATGTGTGTATGTGGAAGTGTTTATTTTAATGAGATTTCTGAAATTAAAATTGCTATGTCAAAGGGAAGGTGCATTTAAAATTTCTGGAGAAAGTGGCAATTTGCCCTCCAAATGATGTAACTACACTCCATATAATACATATATATGTATTATAATACACATAATGTACCTATTATAATTATTATATAATTAATAAATATAATACATATGTTAAATAACTTCCAACCAACAGTAGGTGAAAGGACTCATTTTACATTCTTATAAAAATTGAGAATTACTAACAATTTTTATTTTTATTTAATTTTGTTATTTATTTATCTCGAGTCAGGGTCTCACTCTGTCACCGAGGCTGGAGTGCAGTGGCTGGATCTCAGCTCACTGCAAACTTTTCCTCCCAGACTCAAGCAATCTTCCCACCTCAGCCTCCCGAGTAGCTGGGACTACAAGCACACACCACCAAACCTAGCTATTTTTTGTAGAGACAGGGTCTCACCATGTTGCCCAGTCTGGTCTCAGACTCCTGAGCTCAAGAGATCTGCCAGCCTTGACCTTCCAGAGTGTTGGCATTACAGGCGTGAGCCACTATGCCCAGCCCAGTTTTTAATAGTCTGAAGATATTTTATCTTTAGTCATTTTCCCAATTTGTGCTGTTTTTGAGCAACTTTTTCTACATGTATTGGCACTTTTTCATTTGGCCATATGCTTATTCCTACCTTTTGAATACTTTTCTATTTAGTTATTTTCCTTTTTCTTTTTATTCATAAGAATTATTTTCATATCTTAAATAATACATTACTTTTATTTTTATTTAAATATTTTATTTTAACACTACCTTTTTTGTTGCTTATTTTTAATGTAGTTTTAAATTTTTACATAGTTTAATCCAGGCATCCCCAAACTTTTTACACAGGGGGCCAGTTCACTGTCCCTCAGACCTTTGGAGGGCCGCCACATACTGTGCTCCTTTCACTGACCACCAGTGAAAGAGGTGCCCCTTCCTGAAGTGCGGTGGTGGGGGCCGGATAAATGGCCTCAGGGGGCCGCATGCGGCCCACGGGCCAGGCCGTAGTTTGGGGACGCCTGGTTTAATCTATCAAGGATTCCTTTCTTTTAGTCTTGAAAGGTCAATATCTTTTTAGGAAACCCCTGAATATATTACATATTTTAATCTCCATTGGTTAAATGAGGATTATTTTGAGACCTACGTTACTGTGGCCTTGTAGTATAGTTTGAAGTTGGGGAGTGTGATGCCTCCAGCTTTGCTCCCCTTTATTTTTAACTTATTTCTCAGAAGCTTATCTTTTATTTTCTTACCTATAGTGCTTAAAATCTATGACCCATTGCTTTCAATCTTTAGTCATTAACTTTATTAATCTCATGCCAATTCTGTGTCATAGCAGTGAGCTAATTAATTCCCAGTCATGGATCCATATCTTCCTTATTGTAATGTGTATCTGGTGTGATCAGAGTACACAGGTGTGACAACTAGTGTCATTAAAATATATTGTTATTAGCCAGGAGTAGTGGCTCATGCCTGTAATTCCAGCATTTTGGGAGACCAAGGTGGGCAGATCACTTGAGGCCAGGAGTTCAAGACCAGCCTGGCCAACATAATGAAACCCCATCTCTACTAAAAATATGAAAAATTAGCCAGGCATGATGGCACACACCTGTAATCCTAGCTATGCAGGAAGCTGAGGCAGGAGAATCGCTTGAACCTGGGAGACAGAGGTGCACTGAGCTGAGATTATGCCACTGCACTCCAGCCTGGGCAACAAAGTGTGACTCCGTCTCAAAACAAACAAATAAAAACAAAACAAAACAAAACATGTTATTTTCAACACTAACTAGGCCCACAGTGTTTCCAGGAAAGGGTCCTTCTTCTCTGTTATCACATCTCACTGCCGTTTTCTACTGGCTGTTTCAAAACTTCTCATATACCTCAGACTTCCTAACCCAGATCCTCCTCCATTTGCTCTCTTGGGAGACATTTAATCTCTGCTTATAACAACAAAAACGATTCCATTAGAAAGTAATAGAAATTTCCAATTTCTGCCTTTACACTCCAAAGAATCACTTAAATCTAAACAACTCTAATCCTTTCCTCCTTCATGGAATACTATACAGCCATAAAAAGCAATGAGTTCGTGTCCTTTGTAGGGACATGGATGAACCTGGAAACCATCATTCTCAGCAAACTGACACAAGAACAGAAAATCAAACACTGCATGTTCTCATTCATAGGCCGCTGTTGAACAATGAGAACACATGGACACAGGGAAGAGAGCATCACACACTGGGGTCTGTGGTGGGGGGAACTAGGGGAGGGACAGCAGGGAGTGAGGAGTTGGGGAGGGATGACATAAGGAGAAATATTAGATACAGGTGATGGGAGGAAGACAGCAAACCACACTGCCATGTGTGTACCTGTGCAGTCATCTTGCATGTTCTTCACATGTATCCCAAAACTAAAACGCAATAAGGAGTGAAAAACAGTGAAAATAACTGTTTTTCCTCCTACCAAAACTTTGTCCTTCTACCTGTAATCCATATTCCAATCCCATCTGTCTCCTCAGAACTTCAATCCATTGTTTATACATTCTTTTTAAAAGCATGTAAATATACTCCAATTTTTAGAAACCCTACCATTACCACTTCAACATCCTCATCCAGTTAACACCATGCCTCTTTTCTCATCTTCAGATGATCTAGCCATCTCTAGAAGGGTATTTCTACATTCTATTCTTTTCTTCTTTGTCTTCGCCTCCTCCCACTACAGTTAACCTTTTGCTGAAAAGACCAAAATCATGATTTTTGTGCTGTTAAAAAAATTAATATTTAAATAGCACAGTATGGTAATTGTAGTTATCAATAACTTATTACACATTTCAAAAAGCTAGAAGATTTTGAATGTTGTTAACACAAATAAATAATAAATGTTTGAAGTGATGGTTAACTCAATTACCATGATTTGATAATTACACATTGTATGCAGGTATCAAAATGTCACATGCACTTTGTAAGTATGTACAATTATTATGTATCAATAAAAAATCAATAGGCATTGAAAAGTTATAATCTTGTAGACATTTATTTAACACTCACTCTGTTAGCCATTCATTTCTTTTCGGAATTCCTTTTTCCTTCTCTTTAAGAAATCCAGCCATTTCTGATTTGCCACTTACCTCCCTGGATACTCTTTGAGGTGTTCTTTTTTTTTTTTTTTTTTTCTGAGACAGAGTCTCACTCTGTCACCCAGGCTGGAGTGCAGTGGCACAATGTTGGCTCACTGCAACCTCTGCCTCCCAGATTCAAGTGATTCTCATGTCTCAGCCTCCCAAGTAGCTGGGACCACAGGCACGATCCACCACATCCGCCCTATTTTTTTGTATTTTTAGTAAAGATAGGGTTTTGTCACATTGACCAGGCTGGTCTTGAACTCCTGACCTCAGGTGATCTACCCACATCGGTCTCCCAAAGTGCTGGAATTACAGGTGTGAGCCACCTCACCTGGCCTTGAGGTTTCTTTAGTATTTTTTCCACTATCTATCCCTTCAGTGTTTGGGTTCCTTGAGGATTTTTTAAAGTCCCTATTCTCTCCTAAATTTTGCTCTAAGTATTCATCTTGGTAAAATTGCATCTAGTCTTAGAGAGTAGTACTACATCACAGATAACATGGTGGGCAAGGAACTGAGCTTGGAGTGGAAAAGAAAATTGGAATTTAATCCTTGTGTGTCCTTGGGCAAATTATTTAACTTCATAAAGACTTGGTTTCCTGTCTGTTCAGTAAAGATAAGATCTATTCTAAAGGGCTATAGTGTAAAATGTGCAATAGTTATCAGTGGTCAATAATGTGGATTATT